ATCCCAGATACCTGATCTTATTGCCCTTTTGAAAGTTTTTCTAGTTTGTTACCTCATCCGTGGCAAATCTTCATTCCACCAGGAAAACTTCCTATTTGATTTCTGGTTGACAGTGAAACAATTGAGATTATAACTGCCAGTAACCGGTCTGCTACTAACTCTGAGTCTGTAGAATCTCTTATTACAAAACATATCCGGTTCAAACAAGTTTCCAGGTCTGCCTTCAAGAATTCCCAGTTTGTTTTCCAGGGGTTTTGATAAGATTAAATCCAAGTATGAAACCCTCCGATTTCAAAGCTTATATGCCGATGATTTGAACAACTTTCCTCATCAAACACATTCCATTTCTCAACATAGTTACTTATAAAAGTCTAGTACTTTCCTACGCATCGTGTGAACGAAGATTGGTATTTGCCTTGATAAACTGTGTCAGTGCTCCCCCAGGTCAGGTGGTGTGCATTGGCATTACAGCTGAGTTGTAATCTGTCTGCTCAACAGGCTAGGGAATCTAAGGGAAATGGGATTTCATATGTTCGCTGGGCTGATAATGGAGTTGTCACTCTGGCATCAACATGTTTTGGAGTACAAAAAAGTAGTTCAATTGTCTCGGCCATTTGTGATTGGAACTTATAATTCTTATATGGGTGGCGTTGACCTTATGGATGAGAATATATCAAGATACCTCATTGGTATGAGGGGTAAAAAATAGTGGTGGAGCATATTTACGTGGCTAATGGATGCCTGTGTGCAGAATGCTCGGCAACTCCACAAAAAATCTGAATGGACTCTTCCGCAACTGGAGTTTAGAAGGGAAATTGCTAAAGTTTATTTGAACTCTTTCGGAGTTCCACCAAAAGGTCCTGGTAAAGTTTCCACGTGTTCAAGCTCAGTTTAATTGAACAGGGTATCTGATGATATGCTTCATGATAAAAGGGATCATTTGGTTATTCGAGTTCCTCAAAACAAACGGCGACGTTGTGCCGGAGAGGGCTGTTCCGCAGTGGTTAGAACAATGTGCAAAAAATGCGAAGTGGGTGTTTGTATTGATTGTTTTTCTATATTTCATAAGAAGTAGATGTAAGGCTAAAATAACAGTTTTTGTTTTTTACTTAAAATAAATGACACTTAATAATTGTTTGTATTTTTTCATGAAGTGTTATAAATAGGTAGTTGAACCGCCTAGTGTTACCATATGGTCACATCTAATTTGGGCTACAGTAATAAAAATAAAAATTGCTGTTAATCGTTACATTGCATCCTAAAAACCTGAAAAATAATCATTTAATACTTTTCTACCAAAAAAAAATTAACCAGGCGTTAATGGGTTTAAAAAAGATCGGTATCATCAGCATAGCTTATGATGTGAGCTTCAAATGTGACCAAATTATTCTTGTTTATGTCAATGATGAGTATAATATACAGCATCGGAACAAGTATACCGCCCTGTGGAACTCCTAAAGATGTCTCCTAGACCTCCAATTGTACTTTTTACGATTCTTATTAATTTCAACTATTTGCCTTCTGTTCTTCAGGTAAGAGGAAAACCAGTTGAGTTACCACGGATTACATGTCAATACAGCCTATGTAATGAAATATCGTGAATTATACAATCAAAGGCCTTCGACATATCCAAGAAAATTCCACAAGATAGATCACCCCTTCTCAGTATTTCTTTTTAATCATACCACTGCCCTCTTGCCATTTCAGGTTCTGAAATATAAAATTACAAACACAATGAAATTACCCTTTGTACATTCCTGTGTTTGTAATTTTATATTTCAGGAACTGAAGATGGCAAAAATATTATAAAATTACAAACCCAGAAATGTACAAACTGTACAAGTGTATTTCACCAACAATAAATAATGTTAAATATTATTAATTCAAGAGAAGTTACTTTTTGTTCATTCCTTCTGTTTGTAATATTATAATTCAGAACATGAGGACTGCAAAAGGGCCAAAAAGTAGGTCGTATGATGAAAAATTAATGTATAATTTTTCTAATTTTATTTCCATATCAATCGAATCTGCCAATGAAATCTACCAAATTAAAACTCCACAATTTTTCTCTGTATAATAAACAATGATGGAAAATTCATCAATGATTATAGAACTTTCAAACCCTTAATGAGAGTTTTATATGAGGTTCTTGACACAATATTCTGAATAGGTGTATAGAACAGGATTCAAAATGTCCATATGAAACCATAAGGATGCAAGAATTAGTGGTGTGTTAAGTGAAGGCATGTTTTGATTTTGCCCAAAAAATTGTATTATTAATATCTTAGAATTAATTAAGGTACACTCAAACTCATGGAACAGAGTTTCATGAGTTTAGTTTGCAATCAAAGTGGCTTGTAACTAAAAGTTAATTTATGATCTGAAAGTCTTGATGAAATTTCAGTCAGTTTTGATATATTCTTTCATTTTGTCAACACCATTTTTCAGAATAAATAATTGTAGTGTTGTCTAAAAAGTTTGATGCAAGAAGCTCTGAAGGCTTTGTTGAAAGTAACCAACATCCACAAAATATCATCCCTCCTACTTACATAAATGTTACTACAAAGCCGCTGAAACTGTGAAACTGTTTACTTTGTCTCAGTAGTAACTAGATGAAAAAAATTGTTGATATCTCTATGATCTTCATCTCAGATACTAATTATGTTGAATATGTTTCTACCAATGGTAATAACAAAAAGAACCATTCATATATGGCCTAGCCACAACTACAGAACTCAAAAATGTTTATGCGATTATAATGAGCATGCCAATAACTCAAAACATATTAATCCAAAATCTCAACATTATTTTAGTGCAGGTAACGAACCGCGCCAGGGCCTAGAGCGGACGCTACATCCTGAGGATGGCTCATTCAAAACTGCAGACTTTGTCATTTGACTTGTCTGCCATATTGATGACTGTAGGGTTGTAAACAAAGTATAGGTTATAATCTAAATTCTTCATGAATCATCCTTCACAAGAAAAATATACCCTATAGAGAATCTTGTTAGCACGAGTCCAAAAGTAAATATCTGTATTTCTGCACTACTATACAACAAGACAATTGCCAATGTTATTCCAGCATTGAAGGAGAAGTTGAAAAGCGCTTTTTATGACTTCAACTCAAAGATGGTCAGCATGATTCTCGATAGATGATACTTCAACAGTGAAAGACTGATATTTTCTCCAGGCTTTTATTATTTTACTCCTTCTTACTGCAAAGAAAACCAGCAGCGATAACAATTCTTACCTAGCGGTCTCATCTCAGCGTTCTGAGTATACACTTGAGATATATCAGCTACTCTCCTACATAAAGCATCAATAGGCATTTCATATCCAAACTTGTACTTGAATTGGGCTGCTTCATACCTGGCTCGCTGCACTTGCGACTTGCTGTCTGCGATCATGCCAGTCATGACACATCCTGAATGTTCCGTCAAGTTAAACAAGTGGCTTATAGTTCCTGCATCTACCAATTTGTCCGGGATTTTTCTTTGCGTGACACACACCGCTGTGTCGATCCCTTTTACAGCTACGGAGGTTAGACCGGCCTGATTGATTGCCTTGAAGGCGTATTCTACCTGGTAGAGACGCCCTTCTGGTGAGAAAATGGTAATGTGTCTGTCAAAGCCTGCGCTACTTCCTCGCGACATGTTTAATAACTATATTTTGTATATTACGCGTACTGAATAAAACAGTGACAATGATTCTTGATTTTGTTAGGTTCTGTCAAACTTCAATTCGTCAAACTCATATGATTTGACATTTGACACTGACTGACACAAAATTGACATATTGTTGGCCATTTTTTACGAATCTTGAAAATGCATAGAAATTTTTTTTCACCTCCTGAAATTTGGTTGGTGAAACGCGCGTCGACAAGAGTATTGCATTGCAAGTATATTATTTTCCACAATTCCTAGTTATAGTGTGAATTCACACAGTGAATTGAGTGAATTCACACCTTTAACTGTAAATTATGATCAGAGTCTGTAGACAGCAAGTTCCTTGTATATACACTTTGTACTCGACACAATACATGTCAGCACTATTTATTGCGAATTTATTCAATATATTATGATTGATAATTGAACAAAAACTAACCCAAGATACTAAGAAATATCATCGTGTAATCACTTGAACCCCTCCCTAAATGAAATTATTGACGAAAACCTTCGATCTACGGCACTTTTGATTCTTCATAAAATACATGCGAGGATTACGAAAATTCACAAACCACGCAGGTTTTCACCATCTTCAAAATTACTTTTTGCACTACAAATTAATTATATAGTTCAATAAGCATTTAAATCACCAAAATAACTCCCAAAAACGACGAAATACCGGTATTATATATTTCTGTTAGTTGGAGGACTGTCGTAAACATAAACAAAGTAATTTGGCTTCAGAAACAAGGACAGAAAGGCATCTCTATTTATATCATTACTCTGAAATATGGACTAACAACAACAAAATGAAGCAGAAACTGACAACTGACTTAATAAAACGTCAAATTCCGTTTCAAAACCAACTTCACGCTAGTTTTGAATCATCATGAATACGTTTCAAATCATAATTGATGTTACGTCATCGTTTCAACGCCAGAATGAATGTATTTGAATCACAGACGAATACGTTTTGAATATATGAGCGCCAGAAAACGCCTAAAGATACAGCAAACTTCGATATTCAGTATTCAAGAAACACTTCATTGTGAGATTTTCACCAAACAGTTTTACAAGAAGGCAACACGTGTTTCGCTATACAGTATCTTTTTCAGGCATTTCTTTTCTTTAGAGAAGTATTGCGTTTTTGTAAAATTGTTCAGTAAAAATCTCAAAATGAAACGTTTCATGAATACGTTATGACCGATTCCGTCACATATTTCAATATTGAGTTCGAATATTATCAGATCAATTAATCGGAAAATGTATGGTCACAGTGTATGGTTTCGAATTTTCACTTTAAAAATAATTCAGCTATTGACTTATTAATGGCACAGTTGACACAACCATCTTATTTCAAAAATAATAACCAACAATGAAATATCAGGTTTATTTTGGTTCTGGATTCTGAACTGTTAGAGATAGAGAACCGTCTCGAATTGACGTAGAATCAATGCCCAGAACACAACAGTTACAGAAGATACTGCAACAGTTCCCACAAATGCAAAACTAAAACGAAAAAATTCTAATTTCGTAGTTGGGAGATGTGTCATTAATTTTTCTCAGTCGTTTTGTTTGTAATTCTGATTACCTATTGAATCTGAATTTGTAGATGTATTAAAGATAAAAAATGAGGTTATGTGAACAAAAGAGATTGCACATTGAGAATAGCCCCAAATGAAAAATGTTATAAGTACTCATGTGCGAATCGGAAGTTTCAACCAGTCTCTACTCCATTGTCTCAACTAATAATTATAATTTTTATAAAGTTCCTAATAGATTCTTTAAAAAAACTTTGGAGACGTGAGTATGGTAACTGAAATTGACATGTACTAAATTAACCAAAACAAATTTTATTTTTACTGTACGAACTGTACCTAATTAAGAACTAAACGTACGTGAAATAATAGGGATTTTTAAATTGTTTTTGATTTGACACTATTTGACAGCCTGTGACGTTGTAACGTAATGACTCCTTGAAAGTTAACCTCACATTTTGTTTATAACTTTATCTTTAATTTTAGAAAATTTCTGAATATCAAGGTGATCAAATGACTACGTTGAGAGGATGGCGGTATACAGCATTGATAGGAGGTCTAGTGGCAAGCATAGGCTTGACAATATATCCCATAATAATTCATCCCATGATGAATCCAGAAAAGTACAGTTGAGTTGTTAATGTAAAAGTTTAGCTTCTTCACCGCTGCTATTGTCATTTTTAGAAAAAATTCAAGCCCATACTAGAGCTAATATAAATCAAGAAGATATTCAACCAGGAAGTAAGTTATTAAAACTTTACTCACAGAAGAAGTTATTAGTGTTAAGCTGGGTTTATAGATTATATAATGCAATGAACCAAACTGGTACTACAGAAAACAGTGATTAAAAAACTGGCATGGAAATTCGTAACTGTCAATTGTTGAAAATAACAGTTGCAATATCTGATTGGTTGTTTGTAAGAAAAATTCCACAAAAAATCTCTTATGTTATGAAAATATTTAAGTTTAAAGGGTGAAGTGCTTGAAGTAGTATTCTGAGAGTTTACAAAACCATTCCCAGGTTAAATAAGCTGCTATGACAGAAAACAAAGAGTGAAGATATGTAATGAACTCTACAAATTGTTGAATATCAATTCTGGAGTTTCTTAGGGGTGGGTGCTTGGTCCTATCCTATTTTTACTCTGACTAAATGATATGATGAATTTACCAGTTTCAGTAAAATTTACATTTTTTGCTGATGACACCGTTTTATAGCATGAAAGGAATGAGCAGCAACTTAAAATGACAAACACCCAACAAATAAATGATGTGAAATCTTGGTATCATTCAAATTATCTTGGTTACAATGTAAAGAAAACAAATATAACCTTTAAATTAAAATTTGATAATCTCACCATAGATGTACTAAATTTCTAGTAGCTCTTATTGATGATACGTTATTGAAGATAAGAGTAGCATCAGGTTGCTACGCTGTGAGTGTATTATCCGAAGACCTCAATGAAATTATTGATAAAAATACATACTTTCATCTTGTAGTCTCACATCAGATACATTATATCATTTTAAAATATCTGCAACCAGCATTCACTGAATTCTGTATTCATATTACAAGAAAAACCCGTAAAATACTTGTTAGTCAGATAATCATCTGCCAGCACATTTTTAATCAAACTGTTATTTTTGAGCAATATCAGTCGAGCAATAAGCAATAGATAAAACTACTCGTCTTAAGGACTTGTGGTTTTATCATGCTCTTTGCTTTCATGGTACTTGCTAAAAAAAAACAGTGTGCTATAGACCACACGACTGAAGTAAAACTTCTTGAACAAATATTTTTTGTATGTAAATCAGTATACCTTGTGGTATTAGCCAAGGAAGTAGTTTCTGGCAGATGTTTAGCAGATCCTACAGTGTAGGGATTTGGGATAGACGAATGTTTCGAATTGTAGCAGTTTAATATAAGCATGTTTTCAACTCACAAGCTCTTTTTTAATTTTCAGATATGAAAGTTTGGACAGATCCTTTCGATAGAAAAAAGCCTGACTCGAAGTAGTTCTTAGAATAGTGAAATATATACTTATAAGTAGTTTTCAGTTATTTAATAAAATAAATTTGATTACAAAAATATGAATTATTTACATGATACCTTAGAATAGAAAAATGTGAAAGAATGTCTTTCATCTATCTCAAAATTATGAAATTGCTAAAACCAATAACAACTGAAAAATAAAAAGTAAAAAATTTAATGAACCATATTATCTCAGTCTAAAACTTGTAACAAATCAGTACATTAAATGAAAAATTCTTCATCATCATCGCAGTCTAAGTAAATGTCATATTGTTCCCTGTGGTTTTTACCTTCAGGGGTAAAGCTATATTTGTAGAAGGAACCATCCAGGCATATTACTGAAAAAAAAAAAAATTACAAGACAGAACTAGAAAATATTCGAGAAGTGATATATTGTACATGGCGACAAATCTTTTCTCAAAGAAAATAATTATTAATCATGATTATTTGCAAATTTTCAATGGAATTATGGAAATTATGAAATGAATGAATTCGATTTATAAAGATTCACAGACAGAACCGAAATAATTTGATGTAATAACCTTTGGTATTTCATTATTGAATATCTTACCAATGACGGAGTTATTTTCTCCAAAGGCACATTCGGCGGCAGTTTCTTGAGGCACCTTAAAACCGGTTAATCCCCACTGAGAACTAGCATACGAGCCCAATGTTTTACTTTTGATTCTGAAATCGATAATAGAAAATGAATAATCAAAACTAAAATTTGACATAATTGAACTTACGAAAGTCGTTTGTTCAACTGAGTATCCTTTACAGCGAATATATGAACTGTTTCTTTGTCACTGCAGCAGCACAGATATTCGGAGTTTTTGCTGAAATTCAGGCTGAAAATGAGAAAGTTAGATTATCAATCAATCAATATGCTTTATTGTCGGAAGATTAGTGTCTTAATGACAAAGTCTTGTAAAAAAATCAAATAAATGTCATAAAATATAAAAAATACAATACATGACATAAAATATAAAAAATGCAAACATAGCAATTTCACAAATAAAACATTAAGATGACAGATGAGTTTAGGTGAACATTATAGGTTATCATGGTAGAATTCATGGATCGAATAATAAACTTTTTTGATTAAAAGATCTTTAACTGTACTTCGGAACTTTTTGATATCTGTGCTATTTTTTATAATGGTAGGAAAGTGATTATATACTTGAATACTTTCATAAATCAGAGAATGCTGAGTCAAGGTGAATTTTGGAATAGGTAAGTAAAGCATATGGTTCTGTCTGGTGTTGTGACAATTTGTTCCGGGAGTGTACATGCTAGTTTTATTTTTATGAATTGGGCATACTGTTTCCATTATGTATAAACAGGTGACAGTTAATATTTTGTGGCTGATGAATAAAGGCTTGCAGTGATCTCTCAGCTTAGACTTTGTAAGGTATCTCAAAGACCTCTTCTGTAGCTTAAATATCGTATTCTGTAACTGTGATCTACAATGGCCCCAGAAAGCTATTCCATAGCGAATATGAGATTCGATCAGTGCAAAGTAAGCCATTCTAGCTGTAGTGTACCCTAGTTCATTTGATATCACTCTAATAGCATAACATCCACTAGATACTTTTCTACTCAGATGGGATACATGTTCTTTAAAATTTAATTTATTGTCTATGTGAATGCCTAGGAATTTAGTGTGCTGTTTGTTTTCTATGTAGTGGTTATCCAAATCTAAATCGTCTAGTATACATTTGGAAGTAACTAGTTTTGCTTTGTTTAGGTTGAAGCACAAGGAGTTTGCGTTACACCAGGCTTGAATTTGTTGAATATCTATTTTTATCGTATTTGATAGCTGATTAATTTCTTCATTACTCCATTTAATAGTGGTATCGTCGGCAAATACAATAAATTGTCCTGCGATGTTAATGGTTATTAGGTCATTTAAGTATATTAAAAATAACACTGGTCCTAAAACAGACCCCTGAGGTACTCCATGCTTTATGTCACTGAGATCAGACTGTCCACTTGATGTTTTCACCACCTGTCGACGTCCTGTCAAATATGAACCAAACTTGAGCTTTTGCAGCAGTGTCTTATGATCAACGCAATCGAAAGCTTTCGAAAAAATCACAAAACACTGCTGCAACAGCCTTGCTATCATTTATGCTAGAGTATGCATTTTCTAGAAAGTAAAAAATGGCATCTGTGGTATTTTTCAAACTTTGAAAACCGAACTGAAGGCTAGATAGCACATTGTTCATCGATAAGAAGGACATTAGTCTTTTTTCACTAATCTTTCAATAATTTTTGAAAAGGTCGATAATAATGTCATAACTATTAATGATGCTCTTCCTTTATGAATGTGTGGTGGCAAAGTCCGCCTTGCAGCAGAAAGCGTTAGAATATCCGTGGAGGTAAGAGTCCTCCTAAGTGTGTACCACCACCGTACCAAAAATATGTCTCTTAAGTCCCATCAGGACACTAATGAAACCTTCAAAATACAGGGCAGCCTATCGTCATATAAAGCCCTTTCAATGTGATGCGGGGGTCTGATAGACTTTCTTTCACTAGCTGCTTGTGGGACCCTTTATGGACCATGAAGTAACAAAAAAATCTGATTCTAAGTCAACAGAGTAATATCGTATCAAGAGCAAGAACTTTTCAGTAACTCAAGCACCAGATTCTTGAGCAATAGAAGCAGAATCTGCAACAAGAGAAGAAAAACCTCTTACACCCTTACAATGATTCGCTCAAACTAAAGATAAAAAGTCTTGCTCGGCTCAGGTATAGGTAAAATACAAATGTCCTCATATGGGAAGGTTGCTGCGGCCATTAATGTGGGAATCTTGACATCAGCAAAGGCTCACAATGAAAATAACAACAGAAAAAACGTGGATATTAAAAATATTGACAATTATGAGACTTAAAAATTCCTACTTGTTTACAAGAGTGAAGTTCTAACTACGTGAGAATCATAATGTGGATATATGAAAGATTTGCAATTAACTGGATGGAATCATATCTGAGTCAACGAACCCAAGTTGTGAGAACTGACACACTGTCAGATATTGTCTCTGTCAAACACGGAGTTCCACAAGACTTGGTATTCGCTTTCCACAAACCTTGCAGAAAATCACAGTGCAATCAGTCGTAAATTGGCCTGGGTAATTTTTTATCCAAGATATAATTACCGAAATAAGCACTGCCAATGGAAAAGTGCCATAAAATGCAATAACGCTATAATATAGTAACTCAATATCTTCCTCAATCACAGTTTCATCGAGTGTACCACAGGGTTCTCGTTTAGGGCCATTGCTTTTCAACCTATTTGTAAATGACTTACAGCACGATTTATCTAACTTTGTTTGCTGGTGTGATATAAATCTACTGCAATTAAATATAGACAAATGTCAAAAATTTACTTTTTTCAGAAACAAAAATCCCATTAACCGGTCATCAATCAATTAGAACTGAAAACAACAAACACAATCAGAGGTTTAGGCATCACTCTCGACCCAAAAATGTCATTTAAACCCCATATTGCAAAATATCACTTCTAAAGCACTAAAAATGTTAGGTTTCATTCTTAGATCTGCAAATGAATTATCTCTCACTTCAATAAAAATCATATATTGTTCAATTGTTAGGTCAATAATCGAATACAATTCCACAATTTGGTGCTCTTCATATCATGTGGATATTGATATGCTTGAAAGTGTTCAAAATAAGTTTTTAAGGTACTCTGCATATAAACTGAGATATCATATTGGTGAATATGACAAAATTATATTGGACATTCTTAACTTAAATACTCTGGCTCATAGATGATTAGAATCAGATCTTATAACTTTAAATGTACCCTTTTGTCGCACCAACCAACCAACTATGGCCAGAATGAATCTACTCGGCACCAATCTGGATAACTTTACAAGGTGAAGCACTCAATTAATTCATAACATTACGACATTATGTCCCATATGAGTTAAATCTACTCAAGTCACATTCACTCGCTTAATTGATATATAACTATAACTTAATACATAGCTTACCAACTGATGATCGCAGGATCAGAACCACGCCTCAGCTCTAATAGTTGTTGTTTCATAATAATATCCCAAATCCTTATCAATGTTCCGCGTTGAGAAGCAGTCGCTAGTTTAGTAGAAGTACTGTTGAGAACCATACATCTTACATCAGTTTGATGTGCATCTATTCTATTTTTGGCGGAAGAAAGATTCTTACTCATCGAATGAGGTTCCTGAAATAATATCTTTGGTTTAAGAAAAGTCTTTCTGAATACTTCAAGTTCGGCATTCTTTTATCATCTTTGGTCGTATCTTTGTTTAAGCATTAATATACTTTTGTTGCTTTAGTTTCCATTGTTTTTATATTTTGTCCAAGTAGCTTAGCAAAAAATTCTACTGAAATTTTCAGTTTTTGTTTATGGTGAGTTTAGGTACTGGAGTAATAATAATGCCCAAATACACTGTACATTTAAAAATAACAAATACAACCACGCAGTAAATATATTTGAAGAGTTCAGTGAAAATAGTAGTGTTGAGAATTCAAAGAGCTGGAAATACTCACAGTTGCTGGTCTGTATATATATATGAGATGTATCTCTACGTTTATAAGAATAGAGAAAAATGTAGGGCAAACCAACAAGACCACCCATACGCAACTAGAGCTAGAGGGTGGCTGATAACGAATTCGAACCGAACCTCTCTCTATCAGATGAGTCACCTATATCTTGGAACCAAACTATATAACAAGCTAGATGTTTCTATTAAGGACTCGATGAATATCTGCGTATTCAAAAGACAATTGAAAAAATATCTCATTGAAAGAAACTGCTACACCATTGACTAGTTTTAATAGTTACTCTTGATAAATAATTGTTAATTACCTTTATATGTCCAGTTTAGTATCTGTCATGTTATGTTGTTATATATACAGGGTGTCCCATATAAAACTCCGCGAGCAAATATCTAAAAAATGAATAAGAATATCCATATTTCGTGAAAGCAGATAATTTTGGTGTCAAAAGGTTCTCTTATTTACGTAGAGATCCAGCACTAGGCGTCATCCGTTAGGGTGTCGCGACACCGACGCCAATTTTTTTAAATGGTAACCCAGTATTTTCAATTGGTTTTTGAATTCTGCATTAAATTCTGAATTCAGCCATATAGCACACTTGTAGTTTTCCTTGAATACTGATGAAAAAAGGCAATTTTATTGCGTATTATAAAGAGGGCCATAAAAACTGGTATACACAAACTAAGTATGTAATTATTATTACAAATTAAAGGGGAACTTAACATTGTGAAACTTGACAAAAAATGTTCAAAAGGACCAAGAAAATCTGAAAATATTTCTATAATGGTTGATATTAAACTGTATTGAAGATGATGCACAAAAAAAAATCAAGAAACTGAAATGAAGATACTGATAGAGAGACATTTGAAGGAAAATGGAGGGTGAATACAAGTTAAAATAGAAAACATTATACAGGACATCACCTAAAACTCCCACATGAGACATTTCCAGAACTAGAGAATATAATTCAATTCTGCAAACAGAAGTGAGTTAACAAGAATGATAACTTCAACTTGACATAAGGTTGATTCAAATTTTACGACATTGAAGATGGCACTGCAGGACAAATTTTTTCTTCGATGGCAACATATGTCAAGTATTATTTAAATTAAAAGGGGTATACTTTTATACGAAAGTAGTTGTTTCGAAAGAGCTTTTTCTTCCAGTTTGCGTCTGAGGCAGCGGGCATGAAAACTGCGTCGGTCACGCAATGGCGACGAAAAGTATCTCGCGTGGGCACAAAAACACCACCGCTCGTTTCGTGCGCGTCACCTATATTGTTGATGTTGTTGTATGTATCGCCACCATCGCATCGCCAACGCTCGGCCGTCGCCGTTTTCGTGCCCGCAGCCTGAAAGTTACTTCTCTGCATGATCTACACATATTTGTGAAGAGTTTATTCCTTAATTTGGAAGATTCTCACATTCCTTTGTATAGAGATGGAGAAGCAGAAAGCTAAAACCTTTCTTTCTCAAATATTATGTATTTTCAATGTACACCATTTTCGAAATACAGGATATTGGAATTCAAAAATTGAAATTAACTTCTGTAATTGTTTCCATATATACCTCAATTTTCAAGCCATGGTTTGTGATGCCAAATTTCTTTACATTTCCAGAGTTATTGTTCAGTTTTGCGAAAATAATTGATAAAATTTCGAATTTCAATGGAATCACAAATAACTAAGACAATATTTTCTTTATGGTTTTTTCTATTTTTTGAGAAGTTGACATTCCACTGAATTCTTGAAATGGTCATATTTAATTGATATATCAAATAGTTGAATAATAATGTAAATGGAAAAAGTGTGACTGTTGAAGATAGACATATTGAGAAAACGAATATTTCAAAATTAAATTTTGAAATATTTCCCTCTCCCAACGCTCCCAGACAATGTTATCTGGAAAATTTCTACCGGAAAACAACTCCTTATCTGGCTAAGAGCACGGCGGATATTGAATTGTATTTGCCCGACTTTTGTGCATATTTCCTTGTGAAATAAATACTTGTATATGTTTCTTATTCGTCTAGAACAGTAGTATCTTACTGAAATCAATCCATTGATCACCTCTAGATCATTTTCAGAGTATTACTCCCTGGTAGTACAAATCAGATTTAACCAAAATATCATTGTTGTCTGGAACTCAACTGCGTTCTACCACTTGGAAACTTAGAAGAGCGAATGTTTCAAATTTCAATTCAAATTTATTTATTTTCTTATTCAATGGTAATACTGAATAGGTAAATCAAAATTAATTTTGTCATCAAGTCTTGCAAACATAATATTGAAAACAGTCAGACTAGGTGACCGGTTATCAAGTACCCGGACTAGGATGCCGGGTACTAATTGGTACCCGGTGAACCAGTTTCTTCGTTTTGTGGTATCATCAAAAACGAGTATTGACCAGGTACCCAGTGCATACCGAGTTTTAAATGTGTTATCATTTAATTTAAAGGAATATTCACCCTTTTATTGATAAATCCATTTTGTGACTTGCTTTAAATATATAGTTATTTATTGTATAGTCAAATGATCCTTTCTATTTTATTCTACAGGAAATGTGAAACAAACTCCACTGATATTTAAAGCAGCCCCTTGTAACAAAGGCATAAATACTCAACATCAGTAACATCATTAAAGATATTTTTCATTAATTATATGTTTACAAAAGAAATGTATTTTAATTTCAAACGATTGGTTACAAATTTTTAAACGCATACTTTTGACCTAAAGAAGAGTTGCAAATTGAAAATAATTTACCCATATATCAACACTTCCTGTCTTGAATCCTGGATAAACTAAAATATTTCTCTCAGTATTAGGCAAAGTACCGATTTCGCACAGTCCCTTGGGGTTGTCTCTTGTAAATATAGTGAATAATTTTTGAGTTGGCGACGGAAATGAAAAAATGTGTATCTGAGACTTCAGAACTACAACTAACCTACAACAAAAACATTAGTTATTTCTAGTTTATTGAACCTGGAGTCTTCTAAATTGTTACTTGTCTTTTTTCAACCGCACAGACAATACAGTGGACTTGAAACTTATATCCAGAATGAACTTTTTTGCTAAGTCGTCGTATATCAACAAATGATTATCTGGAAATTTTGGACGAGTCCCTCCTGATACTATTGCTAAAAGATTGGATCTGTTCAGCATTTCACATTTGGAAACGCTTCCTACAGTTGTGATGCCTGCAAAATTGAATGTTTTACATCCTGAAAATATTTCCAAGAAAAATGCTCACCAAAATTAATTTTTTCCACCAATGGATTCACATTATATATTCTTACACCACTTTCTGTACTGCAGGAAAAACAACCTGAAGCAAGAATTGTCATAAAAAGAATTAATGATATTGGCTATTAAGACTTACTGAAATCTTGATTGAATCTAACACTCAACACTTCTCTGGCATTCGACATTGTATTTTGAAATAATATTCTAAAAACCAGCAGTTAAACATGTGCTTTACATTTACTTTGTTTTTGTTATGTGAATATCGTGAATGATCGTGAATCGTGAATGATCGTTATCGTGAATGATCGTTATCAGTGTAAGAGGTCTCACCTATTCCAATAGTGTTGACTGTTTTAAAGAAGTGGCTACGAAACAAGCTACGGACTCGTCGCAGTTTTATGTGGTAAAGATTATATAACCTCAGTAACCTGTGGAAAGTATAAATTATGATTATCATGACGGTAATTAGTTGTGTTGCTGATATTTGTGGCAACAACCAACTTTTCATGAATAATCATTCAAAGGAATCCAGAAAATCGCAGTATTTGTGCTTATTCATAAAATAAGAAAAGAGGAGTTTTTTCGATCAAGAATATTCAAAAGTTTGATATCCTTATTGCATAACTCAAATTCTGGAAATAATAATTGTTCATCAACGTCGAACTGCTTTTATCTGATCTTTGAAAAAATACGTGAATTGAAACCCAGAACTTGTAGAAACTCGGAAAAACTAGAAACCAAGTTGGATCCATTGATGTCAAATCCATTTAAGATTTTAAGCAATTTGAAAGCAATTAAGCACCTAGAAGCTGATTGCCTTCAGTAATCATCAGCCATTCTTAGGATAATAACTTGACATGTTCGAAATAAAAAATGTGTTGTGATACTTTAATTAGTTGATATTTATTTGTAGGAAATTGAGACCACTATATTTCGCGATCCCAGATTCATAAATTAGACAACTTAAAATTGAACATTATGTCACCAGTCAAAAGTTTGGTATACCTAATAGTTTTCCGCCCTCAATAAGTGTGACGGTTGTTATCACATACCTTCATTTTGAAAGCCTGGATATTGACGGTACTGTTCCCCTCAGTTATGAACTCATTGGTCCTTCTCGAGATCAAAAATCAGCCAAAAGGGTTAGGGAGCTGGACTCCAATCCTGAATGAAACGAAGATGACCTTCCACTGACGGTTCTGTTTTGTCGTAAACGTCAACCTGGAATCAACTGAAATGTGGTTCAGACAGAAAAAAAAAATTGAAATAATTTTTAACATTTCCATTCCAACAGAATCTATAGGATCAACACATAATAGTCAATCATAGTGTATAAATCATATACGTGGCTGCCAAAGGCGGTCTGTTGCTAGGCAAAACTGTGACAACGACCACCGAGTACTTTAGAACTGAAATTTGTAACTGGGTTTTCTCAGATGTCCACAATTTGTTCATCATCATCTCTGGAGCATTTGTAGCAGGCAAACTTAAAATATATTCAATTGAAATAGAAAACATTTTATGTTTTCCGTGGAAATGTTTAAATTATTCCATTCGTTTACTTTTTGCGATATAATGTTAATGTTAATGAAAATTCGCCAGAAACTTCTGTATCTTCATCAAGGTCAATATTATTCATTTTCAATTAATACATTCAGATATTTTTGAATGTCTTCCCATGCGATTAATTTGCCCAATATAATGTTTCCATTTCTTTGGTAAGAAAGCAAGTCCTCTGCTCCAGATATTCACAGCTTGTTTCATAAAATTATCTAGCCGTCCTTTTCACAAACTCTTCATCTATGTCAGTACCATTATCTTTCAATTTCACCATTATATGGTGAGGTCATCTTGGTGGAAAAAGGTTTCCAACCATCATCCGTCACCAGGAGGATGCGAGGAAACGGACCACTCTCTCTGGTTTTGCACACTGCAAACTACCGCGGTTGTCCTGAGTTCCCTAAGGTTCGCAGGAGGACTGAAGTAGCTGCAGGTGGCCCCCGTAATGCACCCACACGTGGGAGGCATCCTGCCGGAGCATCTGGCACAGGATTCTGAACAAAAAGATAGACTTCGAAAACTTTTCAATCGACCATAACATTGATGTCGCACTTGTGCAGGAAACCCACCTGCACAAAGAAACGTTTGGAATTCCAAATTACCGTTTCTACCACAGAGAACGCGTTGGACGTGCTGGAGGAGGAATTGGCATCTTTGTCAAACGTAATCTTCCCCACGTACAATTCAGCATTGACTCGGACCACTTACATGGTACGGAAGCCTTGGGCGTCGAGCTCCAACTGAGAAGAGGTCGTCATAGACTAATCTCGGTTTACAACCCTCCTTTGAATCGAATACTCCCAGAATATCTGGATGAACTCTTGATGTTGGCAAATACCCCTACGATTGCTGCTGGCGACTTTAACGCCAAGCACCAACCGTGGAGCAGAGTCACCAATGCGAATGGCCGAGCGCTCCATGCGCATGCTAACAGGCATTAGTATCGAGTGATGGGCCCAGATGAGCCCACGTTCTATTCAGGGCAACACAGATCTGGCTTGCTTAATATCGCACTGCTCAGAAAACGTCTTCATGTCCTGTGGAGTTTACACTCTGTCTGAATTGGACTCGGATCCATAATCCAGTCATCCTGTCAACTACGAAGCCATAATGAGTTTCCTCCCAGGATAAAAAACCTTATCCGGGAGAGAAATCGACTCAGGCGAGTTTTTCAGCGGACTTTCTATCCTGGAGACAAGGCTGCGGCTAGCAGAATGGCAAACCAGGTAAAATTGGCCACTTCTGACTACCGAAACGACAAGAAGAAACTTTGGAACATATTTTTTTTGAATGCTCAATCAGAACTGTACCTACCAAACGCGGATATGTATCGGATGTTTAAAGAATATGGAGTGGTTGCCCCCTGAACTTCATAAAAAAAATAAGTTTTAATGTAAATAGTTAAAGTTAAAATTGAAAATTATTGGAATTATTTAGGTATCCCATCTTTAACTTTTTCCATTCTGGGCTCCTTTTATTCCAGGCAGCATTTCGGTTTGTGGTAATGCTTCACATCTGCCCTGAAGCGAGGAGAGTCTATACCTGCTATAAATAACTGTCTTGCATGAAGAAGAATAATTTGAAGAAGAATATTGTGTAAAACAAGAACTGGTTATAATAGCGCCAAATCTGGAAGTTGGGACCAAAATTAAGAAGAAGAAGAAAAGTTACAATTTTCTTATCTGTCAAATGTTACTTTTGACACATATTAAATATCTGAACTATTTATCTGTTAATACAGATTACAGATATTTTCAAACAGGCACAACACTGATAAACTGTTGTGATAGACAAATAGGTTATTACTTTAGACCTATTTATATTTTCTTGGTGTAGTTACCTCATCTATAAAGGAAATGGTTTCCAACAACCAATGTCTTCCAGTTTCTGAAATACTGAAGTCAAAAAGTGAAACTGATGATGAACCAAAGAAGAAATCGAGAGAAGACTGGAGGAAGGCCAAAGAGTTGGAAGAAGCTCGAAAGGCTGGAACAGCTCCAGCTGCGGTTGATGAAGAAGGAAAGGACATAAACCCCCACATCCCCCAGTATATATCCTCTGCACCTTGGTATTATGGAAAAACTGGCCCTACTTTGAAACATCAAAGGCCCCAAGAAGAGAAACAAAAAGAATATTCTGGGATAGACGAGTGGTATGCCAGAGGAGTTGACAGGGTGGGTATTTTCATACTGATGATAGATTGCCAAGCAGTAGAAAGTTCGAAAGCTTTTTTCATATTGCATATATGAATTCAGTTGAAGTGAAGTGTTACCTAAATCTTGGTTATGTTTTCTCCAAAATCAGAGCTCAAAAACATTCGACTGACTTGACAAGTCTTGTTTATCTTGATATTTGAAGATTCACTCTTCCGTCGATCTCATAAATAGCATAAGTATAAATGTCAACATATTAACTTACATTTTAATTGTCTATTAAGAAAATTAATGAGGCTGGTTTTTCCACATTTAGCTCCAAGTAACTATCAGTGAAAGATATATTTTTCTGAATTATTGAGAATTGTTTTTTCTTTATTAGAAATAACGGATATATCGTCTGCATATAGAATAAAGGATCCTCCATCATAAATGTCTGGAAGTTCATTTATATATTGATATAATTGAAAATGTGTATATTGTCAAATGCTCCGCTGAGATCTCCAAAAATGCCAAAAGAGCACTCAACACATTCAGAAATTGTAGAGCCCGATCAAGGCCACAATAGTCAATAATTTAGGGAAATGATGACTGTACTGTAATTGTATAATAATTTTTCTCATCTGAGGGAGGCTGCCTTTTTTTAATATCGATGGGGATAGTCCATTTTAAAGTAATAAAAAATATGCATTAATCTATCATTTTCTATATACTTTTGACTAACAAATTTGGAATAACATCAAGACCTGCAGATTGCTTGTATTAAAAACTAGCTGTTGCCATTAACTTTGCATGGACTTAAATACTGAAATTCATTATTTTGGGTTCCAGTGTTTCAAAATAAGCCCCCAGTAATAGTGTTTAATAGTTATAGTAGTAATAGTTATTACACAAGGGTTGCCTTTTATATTTCGGGATTAGAGAACAAAAACAAATATTAATCATCAAAAATCACTTTATTGCTTTTCAAAATATTCTCCATGAAGCACTATTGTTGAAGCACTTTTGCCACTCTGATTGAGATATCTCCAAAACATGCATTCTGAATGCAGCAACTACTTCTTCAGGTGTCGAAAAACGTTGACCTCTCAGTTTTTTTTTACGTGCGGGAATGAAAAGAAGTCATTCGGTGTCAAGTCAGGACTATAAGGCGGATGACTCATCAAATCGATGTTTTGGGTGCTCAAAAATGCAGTTGTTTGAGCCGATGTCTGAGAGCTCGCATTGTCGCGGTGAAGAGTGATCTGTCTTCGGCGGTTGGTTTTCCTGATTTCTTGGAAGACAACTGGCAAACAAATGGTTGTGTACCTCTCAGAATTGGCTGTACTGAGTTGTTCTAGTGGTATGGTTGCGACATGTCCAGTTTTCTCGAAAACAGGCGACCATTTGCTTGGAAGTGCTTCGTGCACGAACAACTTTTGTTGGATTTGGCTCATCTTGAAACACCCATACAGTCGACTGCTGTTTACTTTCAGGCTCATACGCGTAAATCCACGATTCATCACCTGTCACGATGTCATAGATGTGTTTTGAAGCACAGCGATCGTATTTTTTGAGCATTGATATCTGATGTAATTTCATAACCAATGTTTGGAATACAAACTGAGTAGAAAAAAGTTTTTTTTGTATAATTCAATGTTCATATGAAAGTATTTGTTTTGAAAGAATTTTTCTTTCGTGTTATTCAATGTTTATTTGAAAGTAGCTGTTTCAGGAGGGCTTTCTTTATCAGTTTGTGTATGAGAGTTATGTCTTTGCATGATCTACACATCTATGTATAGAGTTACTACTTTTAAAATTGATTGCTTCCTTCCTTTCTTCGGAAGATTGCCTTATTTTTCTGTATCAAGATGGAACAGTAGAAAGCCAAAAACTTTCTTTTCCGAGAATTAGTCACCCCTAAAAATATAATCATTTGCATGATCTACACATCTATGTATAGAGTTACTACTTTTAAAATTGATTGCTTCCTTCCTTTCATCGAAAGATTGCCTTTTTTTTGTATCAAGATGGAGTAAGTAGAAAGCCAAAAATCTTCTTTCCCAAGATCATATCTCTTGTGTTTTCTCATATTTTTCATCATTTGATTTTTTTTAAGAAAAATTATCTGATATTATACAATTGTTTTCAAATCTTATTTTCTTAACCAATTCCTATATTTCCAATAAAGTTCTTATTAAAAGTTTTTTTGGTATGTTTTCATTTAAATTATCATGTTTTCAGTTATGAATGCCATTAATAATTATTGTTATTTTAGTCCAAAGTCGTCATTAAATACCGAAAAGGAGCTTGTGAAAACTGTGGAGCATTAACACACAAGAAGAAAGAGTGTATGGAGAGACCCAGAAAGGTTGGGGCAAAATTCTCCGGAGCCAATATTGCTCCTGATGAGTACATCCAAAAAAATCTCTCATTGAGTTTTGATGGAAAACGAGACAGATGGAGTGGGTATGATCCCTCAGAGCATAAAACTGTCATTGAAGAATTCCAGAAAGTTGAAGAGGCCAAGAGACATTTGAAAGCTGAGAAACTGAATGCTGAGGAATCGGAAGATGAAGAAAAAGACGAGGACAAATATGTAGATGAGGTTGACATGCCAGGAACAAAAGTGGATAGCAAACAGCGATGATTGGAGGACTTACTAATTCTTCATTGGATGATAGCAATGGAACTAAATATGTTGAACAACTCCATTGGAATATTGGGTTGCTGAAGACAGTCTTGCATTACTTCAAATCAAAGTTAACATCTTCATTTTCAATTGAGTGTGATTTCTAGCACGGGAAGCAATAGCTTCTTCACACAAGTCTGAATGAATAACTACCACTGTCTCATTGAATACAGCCATTTGTCACACTAATAGCGAGACTTACAGATAAGTCAGAAAAGGCATATTTGGGATGACATTACAATCTTAAAAAAAAACAATTCATAAATTTGGATGGTGAGGAGCATACCGCTAATATGAATTAATATTTTTCGAATTATGAATACTCTGACCCTTACTTGATGAAAATCATTAACACTATCTATGATAATAATTATAGAATTTTCACAATGCATTTTATTTAAAATGCCTTTTGCTACACGGTAGCTTCATCAGTTATTGGAGTTCCAATACACGGTAGTCTCATCAGTTACTGGAGTTCTAGTAACTGATGAAGCTACCATGTAACGAAATGCATATTAAGTAAAATTATTATCATGGATAGTCATATTTTTCAGTTTAAATATTTTTCTACAAAAATGTAAACTGAAATTTGTAAAATGCCTGTTGATTAATAAATAAATTATTATTGTTTTCAGTTACCATGGAGAGAATTTCGTTCGATTTTCTGGAGACACTCAAAATCATGCCAAAGCCCAATTATTTGCTTGGGAAGCATATGAAAAAGGAGTCGACGTCCATTTACTGGCTGAACCGACAAAACTTGAGCTACTTAAAAAAGAGTATGAGAAAAAAAAAGAACAAATCAAGACCAAAATTCAGAGCAATGTTTTGGAAAGATACGGAGGTGAGGAGCACTTAGAAGAACCTCCTAGAAGTCTGCTGCTCGCTCAAACAGAAGATTATATTGAATACTCAAGATCAGGCAAAATTATTAAAGGAGCTGAGAAGGAGGTGATCAAATCCAAGTATGAGGAGGATGTTTACATAAATAATCATACTTCAGTTTGGGGATCGTATTGGCGTGGAGGCCAGTGGGGCTACAAGTGTTGTCATTCATTTATCAAAGTAAGTAAAATCATGTTCTCTGTTATAAATGAGGGATGGATTTAATCTAAAAGTGACTATTCATTGGTTTAGAGGTTTCAAACTTCATGATGCAATTATAAATGATTAATTTTCTGAATATCAATGATTTTCACTATTATGATTGCACTATAGCCTCCTAGTCAGTTAAACACTTGAATCCCTCAATTAACCTTCTAGCTGATATTTGCCTAATTTTTGTTAAAGAAAACATGATCAATAGTTGAAGAAATGAAAATCTCTTGTTCTTGATAAGATCATACTGGGAGAACAGTTGGTGAGTGGGCGCTCGGTATTTCGAAAGTTCCCTTGATGACACTGAGTGTACTCGGAGTCATACATCATTTCGTACAGATACACACACCTTAGGAATCATTAGATACCCCTACAGGGGTATTCTAACGATTCCTGTTGTAGGGTGGTATACATTTGGTACAAAAATAGTTGTTTTCACAAATAGTGAACTGTGGACAAGTACCAAATATGTACATTTTATATCATGATTATAAAATTCAACTTAAAATTTAAAATGGTTATCTGATCTTCCTCATACTGGAATATTTCAATTATCAGATATCGAAGTTGGAATATGGAAGAGACACTTATAATGGATCTAGAACCTTACTCTGTTGAAGAATATTTGGCAGAATAGATATTCTTACGAAGTGAAATTGCAAGGAGAAAAAGACAAAAATGTCTTTTTAACTTTATTCATTTTAATATTTTAATTCATACAAATGCTTTTAATGTTCTAACCCATACAAATAATTATCTTCAAGTTCCTAGATTGATTCAATCGATTGTATCTGACACTATTTTCATTAATTTTGATTATTGTAAGATGCTCTTAGAGTTAAGTTCACTGTGATTGTCATTCCTGAAAATAAAGCTATTTTCTATTCTATTCTATTTGTAGAATCAATTAATTATGAATTTGATACAAAATCGTAATATGGAAATACTTTTCAGTTAATTTTATAAATAAACGAGAATCATTGAAGGAGCAGTACTCGGACGCACAGATTCATGACTCATGTGTGAAGATCTATTGACCATACTGTAGTATCATATAATTTTAGTTATTTTATGTAACAACCAAATTCAAATATTTTTCCCAGAATTCCTTCTGCCTTGGAGAAGCCGGTAGAAATTCGGAGATTGTTAAGCCTCACGAGCTGCCAGAAAGTAGAGGTGATGTGAACGAAGATATACCTGATGATAAGAAAGGGAATAGTGATCGAGATGAGAGCAGCTCCAGTTCATCGGACGAAAAATCTAAAAAGAAGAAACAGAAAAAAGAAAAGAAAAAACTCAAGAAAATGAAGAAGAAACTGAGGCAAGAAAAACACATAACCAACAAAATGGAAGAAACAGAAGAAATCATGGATGAGAGAAAACGACCGTATAACAGTATGTATGAGGTGAAAAAGCCTACGGAAGAGGAGATGGAACAATATTTCAAGAAGCGAAAGAGGGATGAAGATCCAATGAATCAGTTCTTGTAGATAAATAGTTGTGAATACTCTGTAATATAGTTTTTTATTTTTCATAGCTCTTCATTTCATTCTCAACAAAATAAAAGAAAAAAAGATTAAAAAAATTAAAAAACGAGGAGGTACAACATTTTATTCAAATGAAGAGGGGAGATGAGGCAGATATCAATATGAACATAAGAATACTACAGGCAGTATCTGAAACCGGAACTGCTTTGCTTGATCAGAACGCAATGGGTCTAACAGAAAAATTTCCAAGTACCTGAGTTTTACCTATCTAATTAATCTGTATCTGAGTTAGTAATGAATGAAATGACCTGAGCTTGTTTCCCAAAATGTCACCAAATTATATCTAGTGGGGGGGGGCACATGTCCCTATGCCCCCCCCCCTAGATCCGTCACTGCACTCAACCAATTTAATTTGGGTTCATGTCAAACATTTGTTGAAAAATAACTTCAAATTTAATGTTCAGTTGATTTGCCAGAACCTTTGGTTAACTTTATTTTCAGTTTTACAACATTTCGGAAATGTTCGAATTTTCAATGGAAATTACAAGAGAATTGATATTATTAAACTTCAGAATTTTTTACACCTTTTCAGCCTACCTAAGATATCTTCTTAAATGATATCTAGCAAGTCCAGTGAGAAAAACCTAGGAATGTATTAAAATCTGAGCTGAATATCCACATGTTTGAGTAACTACAAATTAGAATGTTACTTGATATTTTTTGAGAAAGAAAGTTTTTGGCTTTCTACTACTCCATCTTGATACAAAAAAAAGAAGGATGAGGGAGTCTTCCAAAGAAGACTCCCTCGTATATAAATTGTAGGTAACAAATTTTCCTACAGTTTTTATTTCCTTATCTCCAAGCGATTGAGTCTTATACTAACCTGAAAATTTTTAATTAAAAAAAACTGTAACCTCTTGCCACAAAAAAGTTCTCCGAAAAAAGAATGTAGAGATTTCAATTTTCTTCAATAAAAGAGCTCAAATCAATAATTTTTTGTGACATATAGTCAGTGGGCATACTTGAAGACTGGCTATAAATCAAATTATCTAAGAACAATTCGTTCAGGCCAGTCTCAACTCCCTACACAGTAGGTTAATGGACTGACACCTATCAGAAAACAACTACTCCCCTAGCTAATACCACGAAGGGCGTTGGATTATATCCGACAGCTGTCAGTGCAGGATTCTTCACAGAAGTTATGGCTGCATATGCTGTTGGCAATACAACTGCCGCAATATATTTTCAATTATCGTCATCAACATGAAGTCGGAAATCATCGACTTTCATGTTGATGATATACACTACCTTGCACTGACGAGTGGCCAAACAGCCCGAAACCGGTCTGCAAGTGTGTTTAGATAATTTGAATTTTTTGTGAATTTACTCAAGTTATTCTCAATAAGTTTTTCAAAAGGCTTCCCAAATCTGCATATAAATTGATTCAGCCTCTTTTCAATCATAATGTCGTAAAAGACAACCCGACGCGATGGAAAACGATACAGATGGAGTGGGTATGATCCATCAGAGCATAAAACTGTCATTGAAGAATTCCAGAAAGTTGAAGAGGCCAAGAGACATTTAAAAGCTGAGAAACTGAATGCTGAGGAATCGGAAGATGAAGAAAAAGACGAGGACAAATATGTAGATGGAGTTGACATGCCAGGAACAAAAGTGGATAGCAAACAGCGGATCACAGTAAGGAACCTGAGGATATAAAGAGAGGATAGGTACATAGACCAGGTCTATGAGGGAAAATCCAAATCCTAATGAAGATAATATGTACCTAAGTCAAATGAACCTAATTTTGAAATGTCATATTTTTCAGTGATTTTCTGGTGACACTCAAAATCATGCCAAAGCCCAATTGTTTGCTTGAGAAGCATATGAAAAAGGAGTCGACGTCCATTTACTGGATGAACCGACAAAACTTGAGCTACTCAAAAAAGAATATGATAAAAAATGAAAGCAAATCAAGAGCAAACCGGCCATCGGATGCCTGCTTCCACGTAGCCCTGCTGGATACGGGAATGACAGAATCACGTGTGGTTCTGTTATTCCCTAACTGAATGCATGCCAACGATGGCTTAATCCTAAGGTGTGTGTATCCGTGTCGAGAGGATGAATGATACTGAGCCTATCAGCTGTCTCTAGCGGAACCTTCGAGATACCGGGCGCCCTCTCGTCGTAGCATCGCCTTGTCACGGTAATGCGGGGCTCTGCCGTGATTGACCTTCTTTCCCTAGCTACTCGTGGGACTTTTATGGACAGAGTAAATTTGAACATTTTTTCTGACGATGAGGAAATGGATGTCGAGCTTACGACTCCAGCTGACCTCCCTGTAAGTTTAGATCAGGATCTAGAGCTTCTCAACTCTCCAAACCCAGATTCAAAAACTGAACCTGGGAAAAGGTTTAGTGGTGCAGCCAGGAAACGACTGAGTCGTCTCCTCAAGAGCGGAGTACCTTATGAAACCGCCTTGCACCAAATTCTTGAGAGGCGTACGCAGACTCTGTCTCAGGTGGGGGAACAAACCCCCCTTGAACAGGCTAGCAAACGTTTGCGCTCAAATGATGATTCACCGAAACCAGAGGCGAAAAAGCCCTGCACGGTTGAATCTAAGGCATCGTCAGGTGTATCTGATATGCAAACACCCTCATATGGGAAGGTTGTCGCGGGCATCAAGGTGGGAATCTTGCACCTTGATTATCCGACTACCTCATTAACGGCCAACCAGCTGGAATCTCTTCAGAGGGCTATTTTATCGGCTGTGGAGGTTATTCCAGACGGCGGGCCGCAGGTTCAATTCCAGAGCTGCGTCTTTCGGCCTGGAAGGTTACAGGTCGTCTGTGAGGATCAGGTTAGCGCCGACTGGCTTGCGGGTGTAGTTAATACCCTGCAACCGTGGGAGGGTGCTTCCCTGAAATGTGTCACAGGGGACCAATTTCCGAAGCCACACATCTGTGTTGCTTACTTACCTGACGGAGGCATTCATAGACTGACCTCCGAACAGGTCCTCATTAGATTGAGGAAAATGAACCATGGTCTGTCAACTTTGGAGTGGACGATCCTCCACAAAGAAAAGTCAGGCCCTGGTCAAACACGGACCTTCGCTGTAGACGATGGATCCTTGGCCGTGCTAGCGAGGACGGGTTTCAGACCGCATTTTGGTTTTGGGCAGGTCTTATTCCGCCCTAAAACCCTGGCACCCTCCCAGCAGGAAAACTACTCAAACGAGTCACAGTAGTGCATCCGTTAGAGTAAATAAGGCGGGGCCGAGTGGAAATCCACCTATGAGGAGGAGTTCAACCAAACCTTCACCCAAACATAGGGGTAAACCACCGGCTCACACCCAGTCCAAGGCCGGGAAAACAGGTGTTTCTCAGGGGACGAAGAGGCCCATGTCTCGTCGAGTAAACTGGGAAAAAAGGCTGGACGTGGCTCTCTGAAAGCGGAGACGAAAATCGTCTAGTCAAAGAGATCAAAAAAATCAGCAGGCAACTCAGAGACAGCAGCCTCGTCATCTGAACCTACACATCCCTCGATCCCGGAAGAGGAGGGTGGAGGTGTCCTTAAGGACCCCCATCTTCTCCCTCCTAGGGTCGAGGAGTTTTTAAGTTTGCGGCAACACTTGTTATCTTCAAGTGTTTGCAGGCAAACTTGCAACATGCCAAGGCCGCTTCATACGTCCGCTTCATACGTCCTTGGAAAAAACTTCAAGGATGAATTAATAATCGACCTTGCCTTCCTGCAGAAACCATGGACAGGAAATACAGGCCGATTAACCGGACTGAGCAATATTCCTGGTGAGGTAATAGCGTGCCCTGGGGTGAAACCCAGAGCATGTCTGGTCATCAGGAAAAGTATCAACCATTTTTTGCTTACAGGCTTCTGCACCCAAGACGTGGTAGCCATCCAAATTTTTCTATCGGGCAAGAAGGGTAAGACAAATTTTATCGCCTACTCCGCCTACTTTACGGGAGATTCGGATATTGTACCTTCTCTTGCTGTTAGACGACTTATCGACTATAGCAAAAGGAACAAACTTCAACTAGTAATGGGATGTGACGCCAATTCACACCATACAGGCGTGGGGCAGCACGAATATAAACCGTAGGGGTGAGTTACTCTTTGATTATATAATAGGGGAGGGGCTGTCTGTAATTAATGAGGGCTCGGATCCAACTTTTGTCACTAGTAATAGGCAAGAGGCATTAGATTTGACTATCAGCTCACATTCATTGAGCAACACGATACACCATTGGTCTGTATCTACTGAACCTTCTTGTTCAGACCATAGATATATTCTTTTCAATATTGACACAGGTCTTAGACCAGTAATGGAATATCGTGACTCAAAATCTACTGTCTGGAGGGGGTATAAAAACTCCCTCCAATCGTACTTTGAGAACGGATTCAGTACTATTCCCAGTTGTAATGATATGGATACAGTAGCGACGCAATTTCAAGAAGCAGTGATCTCATCCTATCATGAGAACTGTCCACTGAGGGTCAAAAGAGATAACCGCAACTTTTCTTGGAGGAACAAAAGCCTTGAAAATGAAAGAAAAGAAGTTCGACGACTACTCAATCACGCTAAAGATTCAGGTAACTGGGAGCTTTATAAAACCACTCTAACGTCACACAACAAGGACATTAGAAAGGCAAAACGGGATTCTTGGAGGAAGTTTTGTGAGAGTATCTCTGATTTACCTCGCAGCAGAATAAGAACCTTGTGGACAGTTGGTGGCATATAATGCCACGAATATTTCTTTACATAGAGACCAGCAGTTTCTTTTCCGTACTTCGAGAACTTATCGCAGTCTATCTTATATCCAGAAGTTATAGCTTGAAGAATACTAGAAAACCTTCTTATAAGTTCGGTATCTACTCCTGTGGCCAGAGCGGTTTTCTCAGGATCACTAAAGAATTTCCTTGCTGTGTTACCATCATTAGTTGTTCCACTTCCTTGTTTCACAACATCAACAGTTATTTGGAGCTGATCTTTCAGATATTGTTGAACTTCCTTTTTTCTTTGATCTCTAATAA